CTTCTTCGAATATGGGCTCTTCTAGATTTATATATGGGCACTTCACGGAATATTTTCTTATTTTTTTCTTCGAATATATAACACGGACACGTGTCAAATCAGATAAGGGTACAAGAATTAAATCTTTAAATTAATTTAGTGCAAGGTATAATTCTACTCTAGAAATGGCATTTGTTTCTTATTTTATTTGTGAAACTATTTGTCATTAGAATCAAAACTTTACCGAAATACTATTTCATTTAATTTACTCGTGAAAGTTCAAACTTCACTTATTTGTTTATTTGAACGTGTTGAATAGAGCTTGTTCTTTAAACGTTGTTCGACACTCACGAAAGCTCAAATTTGACTCATTTTTTTTTTCTTAGTCGAGTAGAGTTTGCTTTAAACAACTCTTTTTTTTTATTTGAATATAAAATGAAACAGTTGAATCGAACTTGTTTATCAATAAACATATAATGTCCGCCAAGAGCTCATTTAAATATTAAATTTATTAAATGAGCACAACAAGAACTAATTAAACTATTGACACATTTATTAAATGAATCAAATCGAGTTGATTAGTTTCTTAAACGAACACGAGATCAAATATGAACTACCTGAGTGAATCACACACTAACAATTCAAAGTTATGTGTTTCTATTATTGTACTGTACCGTCATTCTTCATGCTTACTAGTACATCACCCGCGCGTTGCGCGGCCTGATGTTAAAAATGAATTGGGTGATTTAAAATTTAAATAAACCAAAAAATTAGTCATAAAATATGTATAGAAATAATAAAATGTAAAGTGAATTCTTTAGTTATAACATTTTAAAATGCTTTCCTACATATAACATTAGCAGTGAATAAATTGTGTTCATAATCACTACTATAATCATAAAATAAACAAATTTTTGACTAAAAACAACAACATATAATTGATTGTGTCTAAAAACACCATAAGTTCCTTTTATAGAAAATTTAAAATTAAAATACCTTAAACTTAAACAAAAATATTTAATATATTCGATAGAAAAAAGTATTTGTCACATTAGTGACACTCCTTAATTTTTTTATCTAAATATGTTTCAATGGTAACACAATTTTCAACATTTTTAAAAAATAAAAACATTATTGTTGTTATACAAATAAAGCGATATATGAATAATTGAAATTAACATGTACAAATATGAGCCAACTAAAATTGGAAAAACATAAATCAAGTACTTAAGAAACAAAATCAGAAACACATGCATTTAATTTAAGTGCGATGATGATCATAATAACGTGCAAGGCGGATAATTTTTTTGTAAAGTTACAAATAGGTCTAACAATCATTAATGTGACGTAAGTAAAAATTACTTATTTTTTATGCATAATTATTCATGAGAAATGTAATAAGAAATGTCATTTATATTATTATAAAAATTATAAAATAATAAAAAATTGTTCTAAAATATTAATATGTTGTTTGCCCATAAATGCAGTTAAATTTTTATATCATGTTCAAATTCAAAGTTGTTTTATTTTTTTATTTCCTTTTTTTTTTCATATCATGGTTGATATAGGTAAAAAAAACCTAAATTCAGTTTATTCTTCTATTTAAGTAAAAAATATTCATTATTTTCGAGATATATATGCAGATTTGTCCCCAAAATCCATAGATGATTTGTTTAAAAAGAATACATCCCTTTTAGTTGAATAAATTATATTACTTATAAAAATATACTTTATTATATTTTTATCTCCCTCTATTCGTATTAAAAAATAAACTATTAGAAAATAAAATAATATATATATATATAATTTGGCTACGTAAATTTATAATTTTGTTAAAAAAAATTACATGTTGACTTGTTCAACCCTCTATTTACCTCACATTATAGTTTGTGAGTGATTAAGTTTCGTACAATTTCAATTCCTGTAAACAGCTAAAATCTTAGTTTGTTTTTTAATATATTTTTAATATCAATAGATATTTTAATATAACTTTAATGTTCAAAATTTCTTTTTTGCATTTTCTAGTTAGTATTCTCTATAGGTATAAAACAATAAAAATGCTAGAGTTATTAATCAAATTAATGAAATCTTGTACCAAGTTGAGATATTTGAGAAGTATCACCAATAATAAGCATAACTATTTTTATCAAGTGGTAAACCAATGACATTCCTTTTATATTAAATAGATAATAACCTTAAAATATGGATTATCTATTTTTTTTTGCACTCCCTAATTGATTATAAAAATATAATAATATATTCAAATTATTATATATATAAACTTATCTATACTGATAAATGTATTTAAATGGTGAAAGTAATATTATTTACAATTGATCTTATATGGTAATGCTAAATTTGAGGTGATTAAAAAGCTAAACTAACATAAAATTCATAATTTGTTTATTTTGTGTGTAGATATTTTGATTAACTTTGGGTCCTAAAATATATATTTCAAAAAATGAGTAGATAAACTTTTAAAGTAGAAGAGATTGCACATTTTCTCAATGTCTAAGAAAATTTAATCGTAATAAAGTATATAAATGTGACGTGAAGTTACTATATAAATATTCAGAAATAATTATTAAACAAGTGTATAAATGAAAAGACTTTGAATCATAAATTGACACATCAAATTCAAAACTTTGACGATAGATAAAATATACATGTCAAATGTAAAACTATGTAAAATATTATTTATTTTATATTTATGTGGATATCATATTGAAGATAAATTTTCTACTTTTCTTTGAAATTTTCTCCCAAAAAAAACCTAAAATAAATGAACAAACACGCACACACATATATACATATATACATATATATATATATATATATATATATATATATATATATGCGTGTGTGCGCACGGGCGTGCGTGTGTGTTAATATTATGATATATGTAATGCATACTTTGAGGCAGTGTAAGAAATAATATAAATTTTTTCGTATCCAAATAATTATGTTATTCTCAAAGAAAAAAAATAAAAAATAAATAAAAAATAAGAAGGCAATTCACACTAAATTATTATTTGTAAAATAAGTCCTTATAATTATATTTTGTTGTTTGAGTTTTGTACATTATAATTAACAATTAGTTTTAAATATTATTTGACTATTGGAATTAGAGTTCACGTTCCTAATGCATAATAATATATATTTATTTGTAATAAATAATAAACAATTATAATTATTATGTTTGTAATAAATCCTACTTAAAAGAACACAAAATTTATTTTTAGTTAATTTAATGTAGTTTTGAAGGAGCTTTTTTGTTTCCTCCAAGCTTCTTCATTTATATATATATATATATGTGTGTGTGTGTGTGAGTTCACACAATCATCTTGAGCAAATTAACGCATGTCAACTAAGTTTTAAAATCTCATGATTTTTTAGTTATATATCTAATATGTAAAATATGTTAATCTATCGTCACATCAACAAATGAATATATTAAACCATGTCAAGGTGAATATGGAAGGTATTATATATATAGTACAAAAATGTTGTTGTCTGTTAGGCAACCATATTTTTTCATGAAAATTGCATACTTATAATATAAAATGTCATACTTTTGTTTATATTGTGATTTAAAGTATGATATTAATGTGAAGTTATGTATATATATTGAAAAATATGATTGCTTAACCATTAGACAAATTCATTAAAACTTAAATATATGTAGTATGACAATTTCACATCATAAGTGAATCCAATAGTCAATTTCTAGTCTCAAGAAGTACAACTAAAAAAAAAGTTAAATAAATTTATCATAAACATTAATGCAATTCATATATAATATGTATGTATATATCACAAAGATTCTTGGGAGTCAGTGTAACTCTTAAGCAAATCTTCCACCAATTTTTTTTTACCAAATATGTGTGCTCATATTATACTTTTAAACTACATTATTTTCCAAGGTAAGGTATGTTGTTACCAAAAATTGATCAACATGGGGGGTTCAGAGGAATTTATTGTGTATTTTTGGATATATATTTTCGATGAATTTTGTATGAATTTCTGAGGATTTTCTTTGTACATGTTTGTGATAATGAAGTAAAAGATGAAGAAGAAAAGAGGCACCGCCTCTGATCAGAGCGAGAAAATAATAATAATGCCCCTCAGACTTATCTATCCAGGTCCATCATTGGGGTATTTATATATATGTTTAATGGGCCCGATAATATCACAAGCAATTTTATTTAAGGCCCAAAAAATATCCCAATAATAAAATAATTAATATAATACATATCCACATGTAATATTATTAATAGGTTAGGCCAAAATTAGGTATCAACAAGAGGCCCCCGACTTTAGGGCATGTTTTGAATAAAACTGTTCTGAAGTCGCGTGTATTATCTATTTTGGCCGTAATCAATGTTGGCCGGGTACTTTGGGACCCGTGGAGCCAATGACGTGGATAGTCGATTTTTCTGGAATTTTGAATGGAGCCTGGATGGCCTAGTCGGGTAATTTGGTACCCGTATGTCGCGTTTTTTGCGTGGAACGCGAAGCATTTGATGATGTAATGGATTTATGTGGGCACTCGGGCCCCCGGAATTGTTACCAAATTTCGCGATTTTGTCGTGTTGAGACGACGCGATTTGTGTTTGGGATTGGTGATTATTTTTCTTTATTATATGGACCTGGTCGGATAATTTAGTATTCGGTCCTCGGTCTTTTGTTTTTTATTATATTTCTCAGTAGGGCAATATGTTCCCGATCTTAGATAGAATATGTAAGGCGTTAGCCTTGCCAAACCAACTTGAGGGGTCGGTTAAGAATTTTTCTTATTTATATTTTTATTTAGATTCGGCTTTTTTATTGTGCCGACATTGGTTAGCCAAATGGTTTTTCAAGATTCGGCCTTTTTTATTGTACCAATGTTGGTTAGCCGAATTATTTATATTTTACCGAGCTGAAAAACTCGATGTAAAATTTCCTTTTTATATTTTTTCCAGCCGGAAAGGTCTTATTGACTTTGCCTAACCAGTGTGGGTCCTTAAGGATTTGAATGATCCCCGCGGATAAGGTCTTACAGTGCGCCTCGCCAACGTGGGTCCTTAAGGATTGTTTTGCTTGACTTTTTATGTTTATGTCAAGATGCATGTATGACGCGCGTATGAATGTATGAATGAGTGATGATTTGATGATTTCGTGCAATAAATAATTAACGCGCGAAAAATAATGTTACCTCGATATTTTGTTGAGTCTGACTTTGTCTGCCGGTAGGTTCTGTGCCTTGCCGGGATATCATGAAGGAACGTCGGTATGTTTATATCCGACTAGAATGTTCCGTCTGCCGGTAGGTTCTGTGCCTTGCCGACTTGATTATTCAGCATATTATTTTACTTGCTGAATTTTTAAAGGAACGTCGGCTATTTTTATTGAGTTGCCGACTTTATTTTTAAGATTCGACTTTATTTTACTGTACCGACGTCGGCTAGCCGAATTATTTTTCGAGATTCGGCTTTTTTATAGTGCCGTCGTCGGTTAGCCGAATTATATTTTAAGAATCTGCCTTTTTATTGTACCGACGTCGGCTAGCCGAATTATTTTTCAAGAGTCGGCTTTTTTATAGTGCCGTCGTCGGTTAGCAGACTTATTTTCATTTTACTTTACCGAGCTGAAGAACTTGGTATAAAATTTTTATGTTGCCCAGCCGGAAAGGTCTTATTGACTTTGCCTAACCAGTGTGGGCTCGGCCGGAGCAAAAGCTCAACGGCGAGATAAATGGAAATATCAGATCTGCCGGAGTCAAGGCTCAACGGCGAGAAAATATAAGGTCCTCTCAGTCGGAGCAAGAGCTCAACGACGAGGTAATATACGTGTTAACTCAGCCGGAGTCAAAGCTCTACGGCGAGGGAATATAAATAACAGCTCTGCCGGAGGCAAGGCTCGACAGCGAGAAAATATAGATATGAGCTCAGCCGGAGTCGAGGCTCAACGGCGAGCAAATATAAATGTAAGCTCAGCCGGAGACGAGGCTCAACGGCGAGCAAATATAAATGTAAGCTCAGCCGGAGTCGAGGCTCAACGGCGAGCAAATATAAATACAAGCTCAGCCGGAGTCGAGGCTCAACAGCGAGCAAATATAAATGTAAGCTCAGCCGGAGTCGAGGCTCAACGGCGAGCAAATATAAATGTAAGCTCAGCCGGAGTCGAGGCTCAACGGCGAGCGATAATATATCGACATAAAAGATAGAAGAGGGACCTCGGCTTTAGCGTAGATAAATGAAGTCGGCTCCCGTGTCGATAAATAAATTCGGCCCCCGATATCGATGAATGAATTCGGCCGTGGCATTGGGAAATGAGCTTGACCTCGTCTAATGTCAATTTGAGTAGATAAACGCGACCCCAGAATGTAACCCAATGAATGGGTCGGGAAATATTTTTGATTTGCAGCTTATCTCCCCTTTTTTGGTTTGTGTGGGCCAACTTAAATGTATGGCCTAAATGGAACATGAAGTGGACACCACCATTAAATGGGCCGTCTATTTGTGGTTGTAAAAGAAGTGTTCTTCTTCACTTTATCATTCTCACACAGCGGGCGACAAAATCGAAGAACATAAGGTGAACGACGTCCGTCTTCCCTTTTCTTTAGATTTGAGAAAAAAAAAGTGCTGCCAGATCTTGTAATTTGCAGCCGAACATTCGATTCGTAGCGATTAATCTTTTGATAGCCACGATTTTGAAGCTCGTTGGCGATCAAAGGAACACGGGCGACTTGTGTGGAAGTCGGATTATGAATTTGGAGATCCGAGTTTGGTCTGGTCTGAGATTAATGTGGAGAATCTCCTTCAGAACGTCTGTTGTCACAAAATCGCGACAAAATGCTTCTTCATTATGTGTAGCGGTCGCGAGATCGGCTATAAATTCGGTCGGCCGACTTGTGAATCTCAGCAGTTAACGAGCCGAGAAGTTGGGGTCGCTGAAGTCGGTCCGTCTGCGGGAAAGATCGATCGCGATTTGAGGAAGGTGACCGAGTCAGATCTCGGTTTGAAGATCGACTATTGTGAAGAAGCCTCGTGAAGTCGGCGCAACTCTGGATCTAGCCGTGAAGTCGGCCGCTGGCTCGAGTTGGTTTATCTGCAAGGAGGTCCGACTGGAATATCGGAGAAATCAGTCGGGCTTGTAAAGTCGGTCGACCGAGGACTTCTATAGTGAAGTCGGTTTTTGTGAAGTCGGTTCAGCTGCAAAGAAGGTAACCTTGTTAACCGAGTTCGCGTTTCGAGGCTTTTTGAGGCCGCAAGTTCTCGGATGTCGGGCTCAGTATTGAGGCGCCGAAGTTGGCTCCAATTTGTGATGGAACCGAGATGTTGATGTCGATTCAGGGGGGTAAGGTCGATTCCGGTCAATTTGTGCAACTCGGTTGAGCTTACTTGGAGTTCGGCCGGATTGTGAAGAGGTCATCCTCAACGACCGAAAGCAAATGTGAAGATGATTCGGGGCCTTTCGAGGTGTTTTGGGACATTTCAGGATGATCCCAAGTTGCATTTTTGGCCTGACGACTGTGAGGTTGGTCATGATTTAGTCGGTTGACCATGACAAAGTCGGATTTCGACTGGATAATTGGAAGTCGGCGGCGGGATATTCAAACTCGGTCCTGGCGACTGATATTGAAGATGCTGAGGTTGGTTCTCTTGGCAAATCGGACCTCGGGGGCTGCTATAAGGTCAGCCTTTCTTGAGGTGAAGTCGGTGCTATGTTGAAGAAGTCGGCCCCTCATCAAGGTCGGGCCCGACGTATTTTCTGGGTCATCTTGTGAAGTCGGTCCAACGGTGAAGTCGGGCCGGTGACTGAGGCTGTGACCTGGCTGTGAAGTCGGTTATGACCGGCGAGATTGTGTTGTGATTTCAAGGTCGGTTTCTGTCCGTCAAACCTCGAGACTCCGATAAGGACAGCCTTAATGTTCATTATCTTAAATTTTTTATGCAAAATAAAGGCTGAAGCAGACACGTGACGTGCCGTATGTTGGTTCAGCAACATTCAATAGTCTTATCGTATCACTTGATCATCATCATCTGCATCTTCAAGAACAAATTTCGCAAAAACACAAAACTTGTATAGAACTACACCTTCACTTGTGCAAATTCATGAGCCGATGAAAACAGCGTACGGAATACAGTGAAATAGGAATAGATGATGCAAATTTTACTTATCGTGGATTGATCGTTGGTGAAGCGGCCAATTTCTGACAATCTGTTTTAGGCTTGTTCGGCCAGCGAGTGATTTGTTCTGAATC